GGGGGGGGTCTCTGTGTGTGTGCATGTGCGTGTCTGACTGTGTGTGTGTGTCTGTATGTATCAGATTAAACTCTTTGCCCACCATGTTGTGTATTGGGCAGTGCCCTCCCTACTTGGGCCACACTTATTTGTTGCTAGAAGTGATATTTGACAGCCAGTCCATGTTTCTAGGACTGATGTATTTTCTGAACTGATTTTTCAGCCGTGATCAAGATCGAAGGCGGCACGGATCACGACCTGAAGATCCTGGATCAGCCGGAGCCGATCCGCACACGGACAACCTCCGAGGGGGGCGCTAAGGGGTGAGATCTTGTTTTGGTTAGATGTTTTCATTCTCTTTGTTCAGTTTTGTTCAGTTCTTTTGTTTGAATCAGGCCCAAAAATGTATGATGGCTAGATGTTACTTTTGTTAGGATGGTGTGTTTCCTTGTTCAGCAGGATGTTAGAGTTGTGTGTTCAGCAGGATGGCTAGATGTTAGGGTTGTGTGTAGCTACAATTTGTAGTTGTGTTTTTCCCTGTTCAGCAGGAAATCTTGAGGCCAGCTCCGCTGCTCAGGGTGAGACAGACATGTGAGGGTTAGATGTGTGAGGGTTGGATGTGAGGGTTAGATGTTAGATGTTAAGAGTTGTGTTTTTCCTTGTTCAGCAGGAAATCTGAGTCCAGCTCCGGTGCTCCGGGTGAGACAGACGCTGGTAAGAAGGAAGAGAAGACGGAGGAAAGTGCTGAAGACAAGCCTCCTGCTGAGGAGGGAGGGAAGGAGCCGGAGGTTAAGGAGGAGTGTAAGGAGGGAGATAAGGAGGCTGGTAAGGAGGGAGGTAAGGAGCAGCCAAGTGTGCAGGAAGGTGAGACACCTGCTGAGCCGGAGCCGCAGTCTTCAGCTGAGGATAAGGAACAGGAACACTCCATAGACGTGGGGGAGGGCAGCGCGGAGAAGGAGCCAAGTCCTCCAGGTCAGGCATAAGGCTTCTGCTGTGTGGGTTATTTTTTATTGCTGTGTGTTTGTCTGTGTTTGTCTGTGTTTGTGTGTGTGACATGAAGAAGGAGCCAAGTCCTCCAGGTCAGGCATGAGACTTCTGCTGTGTGTGTGCATGCTTGTGTGTGTTGTATTCTGTATGTACAGAGTGTGTACATGTATAATTATGATGTGTGTTCATTGAGTGTGTGCATGTGTGACTGTGTGAGTGTTGAATGTGTTTTTATATATCTACATGGTGTGTATGTATGTATGTATGTATGTGTGTCAGTTGCCTTTTTGTGTATGACTGTGTATGTACATGTGTATGACGTATTATTTATGTATATGTATGGTTCCCTGTGTGTATGTGGTAATGTTTTGTGCTCAGGGTTTTTCTGAAAAGGGGAATCCGGGCGCTGCTCCCTCATGTCAATTTCCAGATTGAAACCTAGGTTGCTACTTTTACAACATTTAGTATTTTTCAAAATTATGTTTTTATATCTCCTGGTTTTGTCCCTGCAGGTGTTGAGGAAGCCGGAGCTCCAGTAGACAAGGCAGACCAACCTGCAGAAACTACAGGTTTGCAACTTTTCTGTATCACACATTATGTATACTATTATAGAAGCGATTTGATATTTACAAAAATACCTACAGAAATATTTGGGTGCACTGGTGCACACACAGAAAAAAAAATTGTGTGCAAAGCTCCAAAATTTGGGTGCACCAAGGTGCACATGCACCCAGTATTCCAGCCCTGGTATGTATAGGAGATATAGATATATCCTACTTTGTGTGTTTGCATATAAGAGATACACATTTATTCCAACTCGTGCCATCTGACATTTAGGTAAAGATGAAGGGCAGGATCCTGTCCAGTCAGCAGAACAGAAGGAAGAAAAGGAAGAGAAGGAGGAGAAGAAGGAGGAGGAGAAGGAGACAGCTGAGGAGAAACCTCCGGGGACCCCCCCTCAGACCGAGACCCCCCCACAGCCGGAGACCCCCTCCCAGCCGACCCCCCGCCCCCTGCACAAAACCTGCTCCCTGTTCCTGAGAAACATCGCGCCCATCATCACCAAGGCTGAGCTTGTGTCGGTAGGTACAGACAGACACACACACACACATCAAACAAACACAGACACACACCCATCATCACCAAGGCTGAGCTTGTGTCCGTAAGTACAGACAGACACACACACACACACACACACAGACAGACACAAACAAACACAGGCACACACACACACATGCCCATCATCACCAAGGCTGAGCTTGTGTCGGTAGGTACAGACAGACACACACACACACATCAAACAAACACAGACACACACCCATCATCACCAAGGCTGAGCTTGTGTCCATAAGTACAGACAGACAGACACACAGACAGACACAAACAAACACAGGCACACACACACACATGCCCATCATCACCATGGCTGAGCTTGTGTCCGTCAGTACATGTATATGGATAGACAGACAGACACACAGACAGAGAGACACAAATACACACACATAGACACACATGTACACACACAGCAGACAGACAGGCACACAAACAAGCCCATCATCAGTAAGTGTTGAGGTTAAGGTTGAAGGGTTAGGGGTTAGGGTTATCCTGATTCCTGAATTGAGTTTTTCTATTCTATGAATTTCTATTCTGTTCTATTGATGGGTTATGTGAGGCATTGCTGTTCCAAGATTTTAAGTTTGATCAGTAACAACAGTAACTGTTGTAACTTTAACTCTGCCCTTTGTTCATTTTTCAGATGTGCAAGCGCTTCCCAGGGTTCCTGCGAGTGGCTCTGTCTGAACCTGCGCCGGACAGGAAGTAAGTTTGGTTCACATGCGTGGTCCAAAAACGCACTGTAGATACATTTCCCTGTAATCCAATCACGCATATGTGTAGATATGTAAATATTGTACATTTGGGAATCTATAGCAGCGACACCTGTGCTGCAGTGCAATGTGAACCAGTCAGAATTGCCCTGAGGAAGGTGACAGACGGTCACTGAATAAAGACTTGGTTGTGTAAGAAGAGTCTCTTTCCTCAGTGCTGCCCGTTTGTTTTGCAGGTTCTACCGCCGAGGGTGGATCACTTTCGACAGAAGCGTCAACATCAAAGAAATCTGCTGGAATCTGCAGAACATTCGGGTTGGTCTGAAAGTTTTACTGATTTCTCGCCTGTGGTTTGTTTTGATGTTGAAACTGTTCTACTTGTTTCTGCTTCGTTGTTGATTATTTTGTCTCGTTGTTGATGTTGTATTGCTGTTCAGCTGGGAGACTTGCCTAAAAGTTTGCTTTTGTTTTTTTTGTTGATTTTTTTAATTTGCTGTCCCAGTTGAGAGCTCAGCCCTGTAGTAAACCGCGATCTGGCCCGGTGGATCCTGTTGTTGTTTATGTTGTTGTTTATGTTGTTGTTTATGTTGTTTATGTTGCTGTTCCAGCTGCGAGACTGTGAGCTGAGCCCGGTTGTGAACCGTGATCTGGCACGGCGGATCCTGTTGTTGTTGTTTATGTTGTTGTTTATGTTGTTGTTTATGTTGTTTATGTTCCAGCTGAGAGACTGTGAGCTGAGCCCCGTAGTGAACCGTGATCTGGCGCGGCGGATCCGGCCCGTCAGCGGGATCGTGATCCATAAGCAAATTCTGCGGAACGACATTCGGCTGGCTGCCAAACTGGTGATGATCCTCGACACTCGCAGCAAACTGTGGCAGGACCAGGAGGAGGAGAAAAAGGATGCGGAGAAGGAGGTAAACTCACCTGTCCTTAAATCTGTTCATCTGTTCTAATGCACCTAACACTGGTCACTTTAATTTTGGAATGTCAGTCTCCTTACCAGTTCTCACCTGCTCTAACTCACCTGTTCAGGGCTCAAAATATCCATGTTCTGCAAAATGCACTTGATTTTCAAGATTTACACTCAAAAATAACTAGAGCTAACCTGTTCTCACCTGTATTTACCTGCCCTTACCTGTTGTATCACACCTGTTGTTCCAGAGCTTTGCGATGTTCACCATGTCTAAGAACCCGCTGCTGAAGAACATCACAGACTTCCTGGTGGAGACCAGCGCCTGTTCTTACCTGTCCTCACCTGCGCTAACTCACCTGTATTTACCTGCAGAGCTCACCTGTCCTCACCTGTTGTTTTACCTGCAGAGCTTTGCGATGTTCACCATGTCTAAGAACCCGCTGCTTAAGAACATCACAGACTTCCTGGTGGAGGAGACGTCTGCTGAGGAGGACGAACTTCTCGGGACGGGGGAGGAGGGCGAGGAGAAGGGGTCAGAGGTCACGCCTGAGGTCACCTTGGACAGGGACGAGGAGCGCCTCAAGGTCAGACATCTATCACAAGGTCATTCATTGTACAAGGTCATATATCTTCAAAGGTTCGTCGGAAGGTTTGTCAACAGGTTAAAACTATGTGAGTTTGGTTTGTGAGTTTTGGTGTATAAAGAGTGAGTAAGTAAATGAGAGAGTGAGTGTGTGAGTAAGTGAGTGAGAATGATGGTTATCTCTGTGAGTGAGTGAGTGAGTGAATGAGAATGATGAGAATGGTCTCTGCGTTCCCAGGTTTTGGACTGGCTGCTGCTGTACCTGCGAATCATGTGATGAATGAGTGAGTAGGTGAGTGAGTGAGTGAGTGAGTGAGTGAGTGAGTGAATGAATGAATGAGTGAGTGAGTGAGTGAATGAATGAATGAGTGAGTGAGTGAATGAGGAGTGAGTGGGTGAGTGAGTGAATGAGTGAGTGAGAATGATGGTTATCTCTCTGTGTTCCCAGGTCCTAGACCGGCTGCTGCTGTACCTGCTAGATGTGTGTTAGCCTGTGTGTGAGTTGGGAGTAATGATGGGTTGTTACTGTGGGTGGTACATGTACATGTATCTCTGTGTTCCCAGGTCCTAGACCGGCTGCTGCTGTACCTGCTAGATGTGTGTTAGTCTGTGTGTGAGTTGGGAGGAGTGATAGTTGTTACTGCGTGCTGTGATGTGTGATAGTTGTTACTGTGGGTGGTACATGTACATGTATCTCTGTGTTCCCAGGTCCTAGACCGGCTGCTGCTGTACCTGCTAGATGTGTGTTAGCCTGTGTGTGAGTTGGGAGGAGTGATGGTTGTTACTGTGTGCTGTCATGTGTGATAGTTGTTACTGTGGGTACATGTATGTCTGTGTTCCCAGGTCCTAGACCGGCTGCTGCTATATCTGCGAATCATGTGATGAATGAGTGAGTGAGTGAGTGAGTGAGTGAGTGAGTGAGTGAGTGAGTGAGTGAGTGAGTGAGTGAGTGAGTGAGTGAGTGAGTGAGAATGATGGTTATCTGTGTGTTCCCAGGTCCTAGACCGGCTGCTGCTGTACCTGCTAGATGTGTGTTAGCCTGTTTGTGAGTTGGGAGTAGTGATAGTTGTTACTGTGTGCTGTGATGTGTGATGATGAGAATGGTTATCTGTGTGTGTTCCCAGGTCCTAGACCGGCTGCTGCTGTACCTGCTAGATGTGTGTTAGCCTGTGTGTGAGTTGGGAGTAATGATGGTTGTTACTGTGTGCTGTGATGTGTGCTGTGAGTAGTGATAGTTGTTACTGTGTGTTCCCAGGTCCTAGACCGGCTGCTGCTGTACCTGCTAGATGTGTGTTAGCCTGTGTGTGAGCTGTGAGTAGTGATAGTTGTTACTGTGTGTTCCCAGGTCCTGGACCGACTCCTGCTTTACCTGCGAATCGTCCACTCCATCGACTACTACACGGCCACCGAGTATCCCAACGAAGACGAGATGCCGAACCGCTGTGGCATCATGCACGGGCGCGGGCCTGTTCCTACAGGGAGGCCTGTCACTCAGAACGATGGTAAGTTCCTACAGGCAGGCCTGTCACTCAGAATGATGGTAAGTTCCTACAGGCAGGCCTGTCACTCAGAACGATGGTAAGTTCCTACAGGCCGGCCTGTCACTCAGAACGATGGTAAGTTCCTACAGGCAGGCCTGTCACTCAGAACAATGGTAAGTTCCTACAGGCAGGCCTGTCACTCAGAACGATGGTAAGTTGGGCCTGTTCCTGTGTGTGTTTGTGTGTGTGTGAGTGTGTGTGTGTGTGTGAGTGTGTGTGTGTGTGTGTGAGTGTGTGTGTGTGTGTGTGTGTGTAGGTGTGTGTAGGTGTTAACTTGTTGAAATCTGCCCTGTGCAGTGGAGGAATGGCAGTCCACCTTGTTAGTGTTATTGTTTATGTTGTAGTTGTTTATGTTGTTGTTGTTTATGTTGTTGTTGTAATCTGCCCTGTCCAGTTGAGGAATGGCAGTCCACATTTGAGCAGAAAATCTCCCCTCTCCTCGCCGTGAAAGACAACCTGTCCGAGGAAGAAGCTGTGAAACTCGGCAAGAAGGACCCTGAAGTATATCCTTTTACTGGTCATCTGGTTACTGAAGGAAAACATCTTGTTTTTGCTCAGTTTCTTCCTCTTCCTCTTGACTGAGGCTTACAGAAGTGAAGTTTGTTAAAGCCAACTGAGAGGAGAAATAGAGTATTAATACAGTCAGTTAAACCTTAAATGAAGCCTACTGAAGTGGCAAAGTATGTAGGTTTGTGTGAACTAATGTGGTGTTGGTAAATGTTTACCTTAACTAATACAAACTGAAGTGGAGAAGTTTGTAGGTTTGTGTTGAGTTGTAGGGTGTTGTAGAGTGTGAGTAAAGTTAGTTCAACCTTAACTAAGGCTTACAGAAGTGGAGAAGTTTGTTAAAGCGAACTGTAGGTTATATTGTAGGTTTGTGTTACCGGTTTGTGTAGATGCTTGCCTTAACTGAGCCTTACAGAAGTGGAGAAGTTTGTAGGTTTGTGTTGAGTTGTAGGGTGTTGTAGAGTGTGAGTAAAGTTAGTTCAACCTTAACTGAGCCTTACAGAAGTGGAGAAGTTTGTTAAAGCGAACTGTAGGTTTGTGTTGAGTTGTAGGGTGTTGTGAAGTGTGAGTAAAGTAAGTTAACTGAGCCGTACAGACGTGGAGAAGTTTGTTAAGGCTAAGTGTAGGTTATATTGTAGGTTTGTGTTACCGGTTTGTGTGGATGCTTGCCTTAACTGAGCCTTACAGAAGTAGAGAAGTTTGTTAAAGCGAACTGTAGGTTATATTGTAGGTTTGTGTTACCGGTTTGTGTAGATGCTTGCCTTAACTGAGACTTACAGAAGTGGAGAAGTTTGTTAAGGCGAACTGTAGGTTATATTGTAGGTTTGTGTTACCGGTTTGTGTAGATGTTTGCCTTAACTGAGACTTACAGAAGTGGAGAAGTTCGTTAAAGCGAACACCCAGGAGATCTCCAAGGACAAGTGGCTTTGCCCGATCAGCGGGAAAAAGTTCAAAGGTCCGGAGTTCGTCCGAAAACACATCTTCAACAAACACGCAGAAAAGGTCGAGTCCGTCAAGAAAGAGGTCCGTTTTTTTCTGGTTTGTTTTTTTCCGTGTCTGTTTATTATGTTTACCGAAGGAAAACATCTTGTTCTTGCTACGTTTCTTCTGTTCCAAACTCTGACCTCTGACCTGGCCAATGACCTTATTTGTTGACATCTGTCACCATGGTAACTGGTGTTGGCTTACATCATGTTGCAATTTCATAGCAGGAGGGATTTAGTCTTCTGTCTGACCATATAAATGAATGTGTTTGAGTAAGAATTAACAGAGCAGACCATATGCAAAGGTTATGCATTGCCTTTGCAAATGTTACCTTTCTAGTTTCATGATGCATTTTTTTTTCTTGCATATTTGTTTAATATTTGATGTTTATATTTTGCAGTGTGTGTTTAATATTTCATGTTTATATTTTGCAGTGTGTGTTTAATATTTGATGTTTATATTTTGCAGTGTGTGTTTAATATTTCATGTTTATATTTTGCATTGTGTGTTTAACACTTCATGTTTATATTTTGCAGTGTGTGTTCTTCAATAACTACATCCTGGACCCGAAGCGGCCGCAGATCCCAGAGCCACAGACCAGCAAACCGCCCCCCCTCATGGGGCCAGGGGCGGCCGGGGGAGGGGTACCCCCCATGTACCAGGGGCCTCCAGGGGGGTTCATGTACGGGCAGCCGCGACCCCCCATGTATGAAGGTGAGTAGAGCAG